ATCGCGCAATCTCGCTCTCAATCAGAAACTTCGCTCTCAATCACACGAAAACCTTGTTAAGAATGAGATAAGTATATGTCTACTTGGACTTCCCTCCTTCTTCCGCTGCCGGCTATGCAGTACATTAGTCGGACAAGTACAAACTGGTGTAAACAACATATTCGCCTGATTGAGAGCGTAGCATCTGATTGAGAGCGAGATTGCGCGATACGCTGTAGCCGGACTACCACTGAGAGGTGGAGCTTGCTGTGTGGCTTGAATTGAAGGGCTAGCCCGTAGCTTCAAGCCGCTACCCTGGTCATCCTGTGGGAGTCTCTCGTTGTGAAGCTACAGCGGGGAGCAGAAGCTACAGCAGAGCCCACCGCCCGACGCGATACCGCCCTGAAACAGTTTGAGCAGAAATAGCCAATCTGGGCAAATCTAGCAACTTGTCTAGCTCCTCGCTGCAGCATCCGATGACGATGACACGCATATGCTCGCGAAGCTGCTGATGAGACCTTCAATTTGCACCGCTTCTTGGAATAGCCCGTCCCCTACTTGCCAAGAAATGGCAAGAGGCGTCTGGACCCGAAATTTCAATTTTTTTGGCTCTCGCTCTCAATCAGATACTTCGCTCTCAATCAGGCGAATATGTTGTTTGTACTGTAGTTGTTTTCAACACGTTCCCGACTGCTGTACATCTCATTTCAAGTATTGTAAATATGTTCGACGTCAACAAACGGTTGCCAGTCATCTCAGCGATGCTGACTTTGCATAACACCTCCTCCCTTAGCAAAAGACGCGTCGTTTGAGGTATAGCATGCCTCCATTGGTCTCGGGGATGGTGAGCTATCATCCCCTGAATTTAAAGGACGCAACGCCGCTTTTAGGACGCTTTTTTTCAGCAAGAACCACGTGTGTCCTTAAAGCAGGGTCGACTGTATTACATCGAACCGGGCCTCGATTCTCACGGCAAGTATCCAACAACTGTGTATATTGATATTTTGTATGTACATGAAAGTTTGTTGTCGAAGACCGAATAAACTGTAGTGTATTGTGCACGGAAGAATTCGGAACATCTTACAGATCTACGTTTTTATATGAGTTCTTGTTGTGCCACCCTGGAGGCGTGTTGGTTGGGTTGTCTTGCGTTGGCATTCTGGGGTCTTACAAAGAGAAAGGTCTCACGGAGTTCACATTCTGCTGCCTCGCTGCTCCTGCAGCAAGAATTTGATAGACGCGTGGCTAGGGGACCAGGGGCCACGTGTTGGGGAATGCACAGAGTGTGTAACACGCAACTTGCGTCAGAGAGTCACGCGGGAAGGAGGGTAGAAGCTACCTACATCGGAGTTTGGACCTAGCTAGCTAGCAGAAATTCGTAACTTTTCTCCCGCCCACCCACCCTCCCCCCCCGGTGTTTGCCATCGGGGTTGGGTTTTCGTCGCTTGGCAACGACGTTGTAAAGCAAGCCGCCCCCCCCGGTGTTTGCCATCGGGATAGGGTTTTCGTCTCTTGGCAACGATGTTGTAAAACAAGCCAATTCACTTCGTGAACTCGGCAACCAGGTTACCGTTTTTTTTTATTTATTTCCTCCGTTTTATTTTTTTGGCGGTAACCATACTGGTGGACGAGTAGATCATGTTGTGCGGGGTGGAGAACCCTCTTTCCGCGCAAGGGGAATGATCGCACCACGTTGTGTTAAAATGGTCAAGCACCCTCGAGGCAG